AAACTTTTATTCAGCAACAGTGGATAATATTAATATGCTGAAAAGTTTCATGTGATAAAAGAGTACCATACTCAAAGATATCAAAGTGCTAGATTCAAAGACACAACACCAAATGCAGTTTTGGCAAACATGTGTGCCTTAAATGTTGACCTAGAAATTTTGAAGGATGAGTATGATGATTACTGTTTCTTACCAAGCCTTTCAACTACAGATTCATCCATCCCTGTAACGCTACAGCCCATGAAGGGCTTTTGCCTTCCTCACCACTTTCTTCCACTCAGACCTAACTGATGCTTTTCTTTTCCATGCTTGGATTCCCAGCTGCTGTAGATCTGTTTCCACATTATCCTTCCATCAAAGCCTAGGTCTTCCTTTCAGCCGTTTTCCTCTGGGCTTTTGAGGGCACACCAACTTCACTCCTATCATTTGGCATTCTTTCTAAGTGTTCAGCCCAGCATAGCCTGCCCTTTTTTTATTTCTTCTACTAGTGTTGGGTCTACAGAGGTTGAACAACATTTTACCAAATATTGGCTTGGTGTGATGGCTCTGAAAACAAACTGGGCAAGCTGAGATTTCCAAATCTCTCAAATATTATTAAACCATTGCTGATAGACTTGTCCATATGATCGAGGTTCTCAGTCAAATTTGTTCAAAAGTTCTTATGTCATAATCTCATTAAAACTGAAAATAATCTTATTATAAGAACAATGTAAACTTTAATACAATTTATTTATCATCTGGTCCAACATATATTCAACAAAAATACATATATATATAGCGCAGTACTCTAGAGGAACACAATACAACCTCTCTACTCTCAGCTTATACAGCAAATGTCAAACAAATATCAAGTACTCAAAAGACAGTCTAGACACATAAAATAAATAGTTAATATAGTCACAAGCCTCGTGGCACCAAGAACACTATAACTCAAGCACACAGTAAAACACAACATTCGGTGAACAATTACAAGTCAATATCCATGCTCAAATGACCCTGCCTCACAGCAATTGAGAAATCTTTCTCAATGTTGAAAAAATCCAAATCAATTCTAGAAATCGACTTGTGATAAAATCATATCTATTTTACAATACAAACTCAAAGTAACTTGTTTTCATTTTCAAAATAATCTATAATAATAATTCTAACACTAACATGGATCTTGACCACCCCATTCTTATTGAGCATCATGAAGTTCTCTCATTCGCTGCTTCCCCCATCATGCGCCATCTGTAATTATTATTATAGAATTTGTACCTCTTCTTGAATTTTACACACACAATGTGGCTGTGTTACCCCAGCTAGTCCAGAAAGAATTAACAAAGCAAAGTTTGCTTGCAAAGAATACGTTTTTTGGGGGGGACTTTTTGCAAAATCAACTATTTTATAGTTAATAAATTTATGATTAAATTAATGTTATCCTTGGATTTCCCAGGATGAGGAAAATTTCATTCCAGTTTTCCTAGGATAAGCAAAACTCAGGAAATCAGAACCATTACTGAGCACAGCGTAAAGGCAAACATGATAAACCTCTTTAAAAAAGTTCATTATGAAGTTATTTGAATATGTTAAAACTTCTTGCACTTGCTTGTGAAATGTGTAAATATTTTCATTTCCTCAGGAGAATTAATATTTTGACTATTACATAATAAAGCTGAAGTGAAATTGTATTAAATATTTTTTTACAGTAAAAATTTACATGTCAATTTATTCTTTTAAGGATTTGGTTCACAGTCTGACATCTGATGATTTTGAAGCAAAGCTCCACAGTCACTTTCCTAATGGGACCCTTCCTTTACAAGATGAATATCTTAAAACTTTGTTTGTAGGTAATTTTTTTGTTATAGAAAAGGACAATTCTGTATCTTTTTAAATAAATATTATACTTTGTGGGCATAAAAAAAAGATTTTTGATAATCTTTACCAACAATTTTAAACAACAACAATCCCCCCTTAGTTCCTTATATTTTTAAAGTTAAAATACATGCAATTTATTTTTCTTTAAAAAATATTACTGTATATTAATTAATCATCTCTTTGCAGACTGAACAGGAGCTTGAGACTTTCAAAGATACAACTTTAGAAACTTGCAACTATTTCTCATGCCTCTTTCAAAATAAAATGGCAGTGATGGAACTGAAAAGTAGTTACAACAGCTCCCTATTTGGTTGTGGACTCACTGAGAGCTTGAAAAATTTGGTGACTTTATTTTTCAATACGTTGGAGAAGAATGCAGATTCCAGCAGAAAAAAATTAGTAAGTTTATTTCTCAGTTGCCATCATAGTTTTTAAAAATAGCTAATATTCTCACCTATTATTACAAAATGTAGAAAGCCCATTACTTTGAGTGATAATTATATTATATACATATGAATGGGTTTTTTTTCCTTCCAGGGTCAATTACATAAAAGTTGGCTTCTTTTTATAATCTAATTTTAAATTTAAACACTACTTTCAAGTTATTTTGTTGGCAAAATCAGTATGACACAGAGTAAGCTCGTATGACAGTTAAAATCCCATCAATTTCTATTGAAGAACAGTCCAGTAGAAGTACAGAATGACATAAAGTCTTTATACTCACTGCCTTAGGGAACATCTTAAGAAAGAGGCAAAAGTAATTTGATTAAAACTTGTTTAAAAAACTGTCAGCAAGAGTGATTCTCTGATTTTGAAACTAATTTTTTACACTTCAATTGATATTAAAAATATCTTTGTACAAAGTCCTTTTTGAACAATTTTTTTAGTTATGTATTTTGGTAAGGTGTCTTATTATGTACAACATTTTTTTTTAAATCTGTATATTTGAATTCCCTCCTTACAATCAAGGATGCCCAGAAAACTATATTACCTACAGAATCACACCAAAGGGACAGTTTATTAAATAAACAAATAGCTCCTATAGAAAATGTTGATATTGACCAAAATAAGTCTAGTGATTACCAGAGCCATAGAACTTCAACTGTACATTCATCATGTGTGATGGTTTACACTGATGAAGAAACTAACAATATGTGCAATTTTCCAAAGGGCCTAACTGTTCCCTCATCTCAGTCTATGGATGAAGATACTGTAAGTAATATTGTGGCTTATAGTTTTATTAATACAATATTGATTATTGATTATGTGCTGTTGTTACATTCATTCTTTAGTTTAATGCCTCAATGTACAACAATTTTATTTTAAACAAAAATTATTTATAGTCCATAGTCATATGTTGATATGAATAATTTATAAAACATTGCTTTTAAGTTAAGCAGGCATTTAATTTTTTTAAATTTCTCACTTAACATTTTACACTCTTTATGAGACACTATGTTTTTAAAATGGTTTTGATTGTAATAATTTTTTTTCTCCAGAGTCAAAAACAGAGGATCAATGTGCCAGACTTGAAAATTTTCTTGAAACAGCATGATACCAGAGGTTGTTTGGTGAGGCTAACACAGATTTAAAATATGGTATAGATACTTGCTAGTAATATATGTAAATTGTACTTCCGTAAATTGCATGGCTGAAAAATAAAATTGTTAATTGTGTGTGTAAAATGTTACCTGCAAGATTTATCAGGCAAATAAAATAATTTAAATAGCACAATTGTCGTTGAATATTTAGAATATTAGGTAATTCAGGCAACTCTAGAAGACATAAACTGGATAGCAGTTGTCTTGTGAGTGGGTCAGAGGTATATTTAAGGCCTTACTTGAGTTGAAAAAAACCTCTAAAGTAAAGCCCAAAATTCACCTGGTACTGAGTGAATTAAGCTAACTTCAGTTTTAAAGCTTAGAATGAGTATAATGTTGTTTACTAGGGCTGTCAAACTATTTCAATTTGCTACACTACAAAGCACCCTTAAGTACTAATTTTCACATGTTAGCCACTGAAGTGTAAATGATGAATGCATTATTTAGTAACATTAGGAAAACAAATACATTGAACTTAAAAGACATTGAGACATATTATAGATAACTAAATAACAAGTAAAATGTTAAAACGCACTGAAGAACATCATAACCTTTTAATGGCTCTACAAAAAACATACATTCAAATGGTATTTATTGTAAAAGAAGGTGATTTTTTCTGTTGGAAAAGTCTAAAATATAAGCGCCTAAAAAAACTAAAAGATACAATTGTTAGATTAATTTTGTATACCTCAGATTTCGTAAATCAGCTTCAGTTTTCCTAACAGAGTCTTTTGAAATAAAATGTGAGTAATTTAGATATGAAATGTGTTTATGGTAATATTAAAAGAGACTAACATAAATATATTTCTATATAAACAAAACCTTGGGACAAATATCAAGTAATTGACCTTAATTTCATTAAATTTTGTTCTGACTTAGTAGCTCTCATTTTATTTTGACTGGTCATAGGATCCAAAAACATTTTTCAAACCAACCCTTGTTGATGAGTCTTACTCATATAAATAGTAAACTACCGGCAATGCAGTTAAAGCATTTCTTTTTTTATCACAATGAGAAAAGTAACAAAATATCAATTCATAAAAATATATCCTCAATGGAAGTTAGTAGTCACATCTTTATTGTATCTACAATTAATTGTGCATTAATTAAAAAAACAAAGTTTATTATAGTACAGTAATCATGTTAATGATTTGTTTTTCTTTATATTTTTTGTTTTTATGCTCATGACATTCTTACACAGTAAAATGTCTATGTTAAGTTATGCTTGAAATAAAAAAGATATGAAAATTGTATTTGAGCAATGTCTAAAAAAATGAAAGCTTGTTTGATCCAGTTTTTACTCCAGTAATGGCAGACTTGAAGAAAAAGTGACATTTTTACAAAAATAATTTAATTTGTACAAAGAAAAAAAAAGAGTGGCATTATATTTACAAAAGTTACACATTTAACAAGAATTATTATATGGCAACATTTCTTAAATTAGCATCTTACCATATTCTAAAGTCTTTTTGTTCATAAGCCGCCCTTCCTTCCCCCCCCCCCCCATCTTTTGACGGAAATATCAGCCCCCCTACACAAATACATGAAAGAAGTATAAGCCAGTTTAGCAATACAGTTCCAAAGAATATCTAGGATTAGCTTATGATGGTGCTAAAATGACTGAATTTTGCATCATCTACTTCTATTGTTATGTTGTAAACAATCTATAACAATTTCATTTTTATTTATCTGGAGAAAATTATAAAAATCACCTATGACTTACTCATAAGCTGACCAACTACACCACTTTTCTCCAGAAATATGTCAAATAAACATTCGGCCTCAGAATGAGTATATATGGTAATAAAGATTATGTATGAGCGATGTATACAAATACAATATATTCTGATTCAATCATTTATTTGGGGCAACGCTTAAACAAATAGTAATTCACTTAAATAATTGAGACACTGTTGTTTGGTGATACTTAAGAAGTCATGCTCAATACAGCATCTATTGAAATGAGAAACATCCTGAATGTCTGAGAAATAACAGCACAGACAAAAAGATCTTAAATTGTGCCACAATAATTTATCAATGGAAATGCAGATGTTTGTGGACAGTAAAACAGTGGTACCTCAACTTATGAACTTCGTTCCTGACTGGTTCATATCTTATCTCAAAACCATATTTCCTATTTCATAATTATCAATTTACCTTCTCTCACTCTCAGATTACAAAATAATTTAAAAAATAAAGTAATAAAAAAGAACAACTCTAACCTAAATGAAGAAAATGCAAAGAAATGGATCAGGAGTTATCAGGGGTATTTTTAGGTTATAAATATACATTTTGCACACCATACCATTAAAAAAATTATTTGTCAAATCTTTGCTTTTACATGATACACTGTAGCTTAAATATCACCTAGCATTAAATTGAAAAAATAAATTGCTTTCATCTATGACTTCCTTCTGTTTCTTTGACGAGGAATGTTCCATTGACATAAAAATAAATACTTACAGTTACAGTACACATATTTAATACAAACCTAAAAAAGTTTTCACAAATTGTATTGTTTTAAATAGATACCACAAAAATGCTAATACCTACGTGCGGCATGTGTCGCACTTACCACTCTTTGAATTCTATTCCAGATAAATGCAACATAGTAACAACAAACACCACAGGTTCGGCACACAGTTTCTATCTCAAATCAAGGTTCATATGTAGATCTCTAAATGGGATATGAAAAAAAAGTTCATATCTCAAAAAAATCATATGCAGAGCAGTTCATAAGTCAAGATACCACTGTATTGAGTAATGTTGAACAGACAACTAATAGTACAGGAAAGTGATGACTTTCACTTCTACACTTATCTGAACTGAGTGACTGACAATTCCAGATATCTGATGTGTTCTCTAGCATTATTAGAACTATTCGTGCAAATAATGTCCGATCTGTAACATTTTTACAGTATGTCTTCTGCTCAGAATACCCGTACATAGTTTAATTTTGATTATACTTTGTTTTTCACTAGTATGAATTTCTGATAAGTTGATTAAACTGGGTTATATATATATTAAAAACATTCTTAATCATTTTTTAAGGGGAAGCACAATAACTTCCTCCTAATTTTTAAAATTTATATTTATAAGTAACACCATTCATACATTCTCTTGAATATAATTTGATTAAACTGAATCTACTGCACTGGGTTATAAGTTATAATTACATAAAACATTTTTAATCAATTTTTTTAAGGGCAGCATAATAGTGTGCTTCATCCTATTTTTTAAAATGTATAATTAACACCATTCAAACATTCTCGTGAATTATTACATTGTGTCATAACATGTTTAACATTTTGGTGGGGCTGATTTGTAGCGAGCCAAAAGTTATTTCATCAGAACCCACATTGCAGTTTTTGCTAAGCACACCTATTCAAATCATTAAAAAATTAGGATGCAGTTGGCAGTCTGTGACTTGCAAGGGATTATTACTATTTACATGGTTAAATAATAAAATAGTTTTTTTACAGGGGTTTTGATCTTTAAAAAGTTGGGCATCACTACAGAAATCTATAAAAGAGTAGTTATAAGGTATATCCTAAACATTGAGTAATAGTAAATAGTATCAATGATATGGAATATCTAATTAAAATTATTTAAAGCTATCTATTAAAACTAATACTCATCAAAAAAAATATTTAATTAGCCAGGTGACTAGATTAAATTTGTTTTAAGGACATGTTTAACTTTGCTTTAAAAGTTAGGTTAACTTACATTTTTATTGATTTTATTGCAAATGTCTTTTTTTTTTGCAATTATTATTTTTGGATATCTTGTTACAGAATTTTTTTAAATAAATAACCGATGACAATTTTTGTCAGTCTATATTTTTTTTCACATTTACAATATACAAATGATCCTGAATACAATATGAACTTATGTTGGTAGCAGAGTTGCTGCATGACTTTTGGAGGGCCCCCCCCCCCTGCCACTTTTTGCTTTTGGGCCCCCATCATTAAACTTTATGTTTTATTTTGTAAAATTTAAGAATTTCAAATTAATTTATGGTTCACTTAAAGAGGAACATGGCGCGTTGCGACTGGCGAAAGCTTCAATCAGATTAGTTTCATCAAGCCCAGCACTTACTTCATGTTCAATAGTGTCGGCTCGATTCTTTTGTATAACTAAACATTGTGTCACTCTGGGCGGTCTTAAAGTTTGCCGGCCGCCCTCGTAAAAACTAAACAGTCCATAAAATAAACCACTTTGACTGCGTGGTATGGGGCTATTGATTTATGTTTCACATAATGATCAGCAGCTATGACAGCTCGTGTGTTATTTTCAACTTTTAGAGAGTGCCACAGAAGTCAAATATTTACCTATTTAGAGTAATTTAAATATCGACTCTGATTGGTAGATGCTAATAATACGTTTATAATACTTTTCCGTTGCTTTCAGAAGCTGCACAGTGGATCTAATCTATATAAAAGCTTTAACTCATTGTTAAAATTTGAAATCAGGCATGATAGAAAAAAACAACGATTTGCCTTATGACAATTTAAATATCATCCATCCTCTTCTTAAACCTGTGCTTAAGTTCTTTAAATAAAATTATTTTTCCCCTTATAAATACATTTTAATTATAAAAATGTGTACTGAAAATGAAAAAGATTCCATGAATTTTTCATGGAATTCAGACTAAAGTAATACAATTCAAGTCATAAACATTTGCACAGATTGAGATGGTCACTAAATGTATTCTTGTTCATAATTTGATGCATATCAAACAGATTTTACATCATTATTTCATGGTCTCCAAGACTATTGTTTAATTAAGTTTCCCCATCTTACAAATTTGGACTATTTGAGTAATGGTAATCACAGTATAAAATATTGTTTGTATCCCTTAAGCTTTACCAAATATATTTGTATAATAGCTTGTATAAAGCCCTGTTGCAGTAATAACACCTGCTTCAAATTGATTGAGAATTTTCTCAACATTCTTTATCCCACTGTCATTTGCTGGAGAAGTGGGCTGGTTCTAATGGAGTAATAAAAAATTGCTCGTATAAGAAATATTATCCCAATGAAAAAGCCACCTGAAAAAAAAGTGAAGATTAGCTGATTACTCATTTAATTTGTCCGCAATCATGCTTATTAAAAATGCATGCATATTTATTTTTCTAACAAATACAGTAAAATCTAAAATACACAAAACTCAAAACTATTGTAACAGGGATGCATACAAAAAGAATATAAATAACTGTAGCATAATTTAAGTGCATGTATTTTTCATTTAGTTTTCTTTTAAGTTTCCTGTACCGGTATTTAAAATTGTAGCTCTCTACAGCACTAAATATGTTTCAGTCAGATCAGCATTCATGAATTCATGTATTAAAAAAAATAAAAGTTCTATTTTAAATGTTAAAAAATAATTTTTAATAATTATTTCAATGGGAAAAGTTCAAATATTTTTTATTACTGAGAGTAGTATAATCCTCAAAAATATTTAACTATTACGTAGCCCCAAATATCGAAACAAATTATCTTACACTAGATGTAATTTATAATTAAACTTGACCAAGTAAAATTACCTATCCATGACACATATATGCCTCCATGACGACTTGCTTGTTCATAAGTTCCTACCTGAAAATCAAGTAGACAAATTAAATTTACAGGTAATGACAGTGATTTGAAGTTAAGTTGTATAATTAAAGTTTATGATATAAAAAAATTCAAGTTTTTGCACAGAGGCTAAGAAAAACAAAAACTTTTTTAGTTTTAGTAATAATAATACTCACAGTAATTCCTATAGCAGTTGCAAGAATCACAATACCAATAACTAGGAAAAAATGTCCTCTTGTTCTGGCATAATGGTCTCCTACTGAAGATCTGTTGACAAATAACTTTTGGTGAGTGTCAAGTTCTCAGTCAAGGTATTCAAATTTGTAACCATTGTAATATTTTGTTAATCTTTTATACCATTTATTTCATTATTACAGTGTATTATGTCAAGGCAATAAAATGAACACCTAGAAGTCACATCATTTAAAATACTCACAGTCTCCTACAATGAGGACATCTTGCGAATTTCCTTATGAAACGCAACTGAAAGAAAAATTCATAAAAATCAATTTAAATTACTGAATTGTTTTCTCATAACATTGGAAACTGGGATTATTTGACTTAAACTTAAAATTGTAAGGAAGTATTATAAATATTAAAATTGTAATATTAACTCATTATTTTACCATAAAAATCTGTCCACAGTATGCACAAGTATATCTGGATGTGATTGGTAGACTTGGATCAGTGGGTGTAGGCAGAGTTATCACTCTTTTGCTGAGGAGAAAATTATTCATTCTAACAAACATTAATTATGATCATTTTATAATTAAAAATAAGATAAATACAGTGTTATAAATAGCTATATGATTATATTATCTACACTACTAAATAATAGTTACCAATTTTCCCTTGGACACAAAATTTTATTTGCCCCTGATCGACAAACTAAAAGAAGGTTGCATGGACAACGAATGTACTTCTTTCCGGGTGGTGCAGCTCTAATGGGCTAGGGAAACAACGCAAAAATATGTTTGTGTTTCTAACATATACATATAAAAGCGAACAAATACATCTTTGTGTGTTGACATCTTTCGAAATTAATGCTACTTTAATTATAGGTATCTCAAAAAAAAAGAACTTTTCTTATATTAAAAACCAAATGCTCACTTTTCATTTTCAATATTAAAATATATTATTTAGTAATCTTGTATAAATATTTAGTTAGCTTTACTTATAGCATATATGCCAACCTGTGGGATAAAAAAAACTGTATGAAAATTTTTTTAAAACCATACAACAGCATGACAACATGTTCAGAACTTTTCTATTTTTTTAAAAATTATAATTTATAACTTTTTCATCCTTTTTATCAATGTTTTAGATGCATGAATAAAAATTAAATAATCTTCCCTTCAGCACACACGTTTTAGCATGTTTACATCATTCTTAGATGGCTGGATCACATCTTTTAAATGTCAAATTTTGAGTTTTTTTACACTGGTCATTAGCAATTTTATTAAAAATGGACTCAAATGATTAATTTGATAGCAATTTAGGCGTAATTCTGTGGTTAATTATGATAGCTGTAGTAATACAGATTCCTGTATTTAAATTAACCATTTCACAAAGTTATTGAGTTAATTTTGCGCTCAACATTTAACCTCATTTTTTTACTGCATGGTGCCAGAAGCAAATGTAATGAGGATAGAAGTTTTTTAAACTATGCGCCATGTGGATATAATATGTTAATAGGAATTTGGTGCTAGCAAAGTTTATGAAAAGTGAATGGGTGCATGTTTGTTTTTTAAATATGCCATTAAATAAGACACTTTTTAATAAGAAAATTCTTAGACACTTAAAATATTAATTTGCCTGTGCTAACACCAGACCTGTTTACTCTTACGATTTTGGCGTACAATGTACGATTTTGATGTGTAAACATTATATACCGTATGTTTATTTTTTACTATAAATATAAGGTATTGAACGATTTTGTGATGATATTGTACGATTTTAAGAGTTTGAGGGTAAACAGGTCTGTAACACCATTATAAATAGTGAAGCTTAGATTCGAAATACTTATTAATGTGACTTGATATATGCTTACTGTGGCTTCATTGCAAACTGAGCACTTCACCACAAACAGATGTTGTTTCCCTTCAAGACTTATAATTGCCTGGCACACTTTGCAGTTTATCATTGGAATTCCTCCTTGTGCTGTTGGTGTGTATGGTGGAGGTAGCTCATCTGCACCAATGGGAATGGTGGCTGCCCCATTATGCTGAGCTAATTCATCATCTAATTCTTTTGAAAAATATTTTGGAAGTATTGAGAAACAGTAACAAATACAATAGCATTAATATTTACTATAGATGAATTAACATCACAAAGCGAATAAACCGAAGTATTTTAACTTAAGCAAAAGGATATGGTTTAGTATTGAATACAATATGGTCTGTGTTAATAACATTCACAAAATATTGGACAAATTATTCAATAGTATTATATATTTCCATTTGCAATTTGATCATATCTAAAAGATTATAATAATTTTCTTCAAAAAATTTTCAAATGGCAAAGACTTTCTATTTTCTCACAATCAATAATATAAGATAAGATGGTTTTATTGATAAAAATGAGAGGAAATTTATATGTAGTGAATCAGAAGGGCGAGATGTGCCTTTGAATAATAGGAATTTATGAGGGCTCAATTTTTTATGCCTTTGAATAATAGGAATTTATGAGGGCTCAATTTTTTATTGTGTTAATGTGTGAAATTGAACGCTTCATATTCACGCTAACACTAGGGATTGCAATACCCCTATGAATACAGGAATCGTGATAATTTCAATAATTGGAGAAATTTTCATTGATTTTCGAGATCATAGAGGTGACGATATATGAATGAAATAAAAACATTCAGATACAAAAAAATATTTTTAATTAGCTTTCAACAATAACACAAATGTCGAACTTCAGACATTACAAACTAAAGAAAATAATATTCTTAACAATTTTATGTAATTAGTTTAATTAATCAAATATCAAAATAATTTGTGTTGTTTGAATTTTTTCCCAAATTTAAATAACAAGATCATAAAAATGACACTGTTTCTAATATAAAATCGCTTAATTTTGACCGCAAATGGTTAAAAAATTAAAATTAACCTGATGAGGAAAGCACCCGCTCAGACTCCACACTGGTCGGAGGAATAGACCTTAGGCTATCACACATTTTCTAGATATTTTCCTCTAGAACTGTCATTCTCAAATAAAGCCATCTCTATTTTTACCAATGTATCAATGTCTCCATCAATTGGTCTGGAAGTATTATTGTAAGCCTGAAGTTTCTTTTGTATTTCAATTTCTAATTGTCTCCTAACTGGCAGTGTGTCTGCAGGTTCGTCATGCTCAGATCCAAGATGGTCAATCTCATTGCCCATAGACCAATTTCTTCTTTACATATTTCTGAAGAATCCTATTTTTGGTAGGTGACTTTCTGAAATTTTGTTACGTTTTTGGCATTTCCGTGATTAAATCTATGAAAACAAATTCATTATTTTGAATGATCTCAACTGTAACATGAAAACCATCATCACAGTCAGGATCATCAGAATCGTTGTCTTCTTCAGGTTGATGATGTTGGAGGTTTGCTTTTTATAAAGTACATCTAAGATTGTCAGCTATACACCATGAGCAAGACACTGATGACAGTAAAGCTCTTCTTCACATCCTAATATGGTCAATACACTGGCACCGTCAGTAGCTATGCAGACTATATCATCTTTCAATGACCATTCAAAAGCGGATAGCCTGTTTTCAAACAATTGTAAACAAGTTCTGGCCGACATGCTGCCAATCACCCTTACTGGGCCAAGATTTAAAAATTCATTGATTAACACAGGGCTATGAATGTTTACATTCATAAAATGATGATTTCCCAAACTCGTCCATTCATCCAGTGTCAGAGACAGCTTAACTCTTCTTTCAGCTTTCAGTTTATTAATTAAATAGATTTTTTATTAGAAGCAATGAAAAAGCTGAATGAGGAAGACCATCTAAAGCTGTCAAAGAGAAATATTTCTGCTAAGCTGTTTGAACTTAAAAAATAGTCTGTTTATTTGCTCTGATTCTTGGTGTTTTATTTTCTGTGTGGGCTGACGTTTTAGAACAAGGTACAATAGAAATCAATGCTCTTGGAGTACCAGTACCGGATACAGAGATATCTTTCAAGACAGCGGAATACACAGCCTTTAAATGAGTGTGAAGCCCTGAATTTTTTTAATATATCTTGTTACGTGTAATGCATTTCACTGAGAGATTGCCCGTAACTTTCAAAAAATGATACCAAACTGATCTCTTTGTTTCTGATAGTTTCTTGTTCTTTTCATATTTAGGATTTGGTTTTTCCCGTCTCCACTTCTTACACACTATGTTTATGCAAACACACGCATGATGTAAAAACAAAACTAATCACAACGCTATGCTTCTTTACAAATGAATCACAGTACACTGTACACAGATTAGATCTAGTGGCATCTATTATAATAATTATAGACAGGTTTTTAGAGTCGGGATCCTGGCTTGCGACCCCTAGTTAGTAGTGTAGAGTACTAAGACAGACACTAGACTGACTATTATAGTTACACTATAGTCTATAGACACTATAGTTATAGTCGATAGGTCTATGTCTAATCCATAATAGTACTTAGGGTAAAGGGAGGTAATTGGCTCCATGGGGTAGCCCTAATTGCTCAGTTCATACAATAAAATGCTTGATATTATTATAAGAAGAGAGAAAGGCATTAAGCTTTAGTTGACAGAAACTTACTAACCAATCAGAGAACTTTACACAACCATTCTTGGGTTTCTACCCTATGAGATTGATTTTTAATTTGCCTTGTTAGATGAGTGCTTTTCCCCTCTAGTTTTCAGCCTTCTTCAAACCCTTTGTAAAACTTCAGCTAATAGGGTGTTGTTTATTTTTACTTGAAATTTTATTTCTACAGTGAAAGAGTGAAAGTTTTTTAGTTTACATACAAAAACAAGTAGAACTAAACTCAGAAAGTACTTTTTTTAGTTTTTAACTGTACGTGTATGTAATGAATGAGTTAAAATACTGATATTTGTAGAGCAAATGAAGCTGGTCATTTGTGCAAAGCAAAATGGCAGTTGGATGAATGATTTAGAGATTGTTTATAAAAATCTCTAACATTCACTTTAATACAAAAGTTCTTTCTAATATTTTGAATAGGAAGCATTTATAAAAGAGATATGGTTCTGTAGATTATTTATTTAATTAGTTTATAAATATGAATATTTTAAATAGCAGGGGCTTAACACCCCCAACTGTTAAAAGATGATTAAAACAACCAAATAATATTGATCAGATTAATAAAATCCATGTTTTAATTCAAATAACATTAAACAGATTATGACAGATAAAGTTAAAATTGAAAACAAAAGTTATTGATTTGTAGAAATAGTGAAATAGGTTTAAAAAAATTTTAAATATAGTTTTGATAATGAAATCCCAGAAAAATCTGATATTGGAGCCATGGAATGGATCTGTCAGAATTGACTACAACCTATGTGAAAATATATGCATTGAACATGCTGGAGCTAATTGCCCCCATTTTGTTAAAATAATTATTAATTAGTTTTAACTTTTTAACCTTTTTTTCACTATATGAATATGGCTTTAAATTTTGCTCATCAAAGCTTTTGTACTTCAAGAAAGATGTGTGGTCTGTTATTTTAAAATATTTTTAGTTTGAATTTAATAATATTAATTTATTTCAAAGAGAAAAACAAAAAGTTCTTGAAAACATGGTGCTTAATTTTAATTTGATGAGCCCTCCATTACGCCCTAAATTAACTTAATACTAATACACAACAATCATAATCATGTCTTCACAATACAAAAACGGAATTAATTAATTATTGTTAAATATGTTATAGTACTAAAGTAAAATTACGAATTAATTATTTTAGAAAAGCTATTTACAATTTTAGGCCTACATGTTTACCTGTATTGTTATATGGGGGCGGCTCGCTCTCAGAAGTCGTCGAAAGCAAAGGAGTCCTCTCGTTATCAGCCATCTTGTTAGTAAAGTAATAATAGAAGTCACGTGACAGGGATAAAGATGCTATTTATAAAAACAACCCCTTCCCCCTCTCCCCCCGTTTTTTTTTAAAAACAATTATTCATCCCAGTGTTACGATTACATAATAATGGGGGCGTCCATAAATTAAGTCAATAATAATTTTAATCAATTTTCTACCCCCTCTCTTCCCCTTGTCAACATTTTTCAAACTTTTAAGAACCCCCGCTCCCACCTTCTTTTACAGTGGCATACTTCCAAGTCGAAACATCCTGCAGTCATGGACGCCCGCAGAAAACTTTATGGGGGGGGGGGGG